GGGCTCATTAGCCTTCTACTCATCAATAATGACTCACTGGCCATCTACACTGAGTGTAAGAATATAATTTAGCCACCTGCTTTCTTGTTTGGAGCTTCCTGTCAACATTTTTGAATAACCATGATTATCAAGTGCATGTGCTTACATAAATAACAAAAGTAGGTCTATTATCAAAATAATTAGATAAATTAATAATATTTTAGTGATACAACATTCTAATGGAGAACCATTTCTAATAGAGCAAATATGATACGAATTGACTTGAAGATATTTGTCAATATTAATTATTAGTATAATTGACATAACACTTTCCACAATACATGACTGTGGTTAAATAATAAAACAAAGTCTACCAATGTCTAGGCCAGTAATTAAACAAATTCCTGTTGATTTAGTGGATTCTTTGCACCACAGTTGTGCCTGATTGCAAAATGTCTCACATTAAGAATGAATTTGTGAACCGAGCCATGCTCCACTTACTATTAAAACCGAGTGACGTCATAATTAATATCAAGGAAAACTATGGGGAAGTGAACAGTCTAAGGGCTTCGGCGTTCGCTGAAATGCCTGCGGCATTTCTTGCAAACGCCTTCAGCATTTGCTGATTTAGTATACGAAAAAATTAAGTACTGTTGACAGTCTAACATCTGTGTACTAAGTTTCATTGAAATAAAATTTAGTTTTTTAGATAATGGTGTGAAAAGCTGAAAATGGCTAATTATTATTCAAATTAGCCATCATATGACGACTCATTAGCCCTCTTAGACATACATACACACAGATGCACCAACTGCAAAGACTCCTATAATGTGCTTCGCACACAGAAGCTAAAAATGACCCAAGCACAATTGTTAGTCTTTGTGCCTTGAGCTACTGCTAATTTTGAATCCTGGTATCACCAAGGATTACATAAAGAGAATGTGCCTATCGTCAAAATAAGTTGTAATTTAATTACAGTAAATGCAATGTTTGATTCCTGTACACTCATACTGGTGAAGTACATCTGACAGAGCAAATACACAAATATTTTGACCTATGAACACAGCAGCAGGTTTCACCCACCATCAGGGGACAATTGGGAAGCTACAAATTCAGCAAAGACATTGCTGAAGGATTTATTACCAACTGGAATAGCAAATTGAGACCACATCTGCTCTTCCAGTGGGTCCTACAAATTTTTTTTAACAAATAACAAGATGGTATAATACATATAAATAAACAAAATACAGTAAGAAAAGCAAACATAAGAAAATACCTCAAATAATCAAAAATAAAAATTATTATATACCAGTATATATTTTTCAAGGTATCTTGCTTTAAAAGTCTGACATTTACATCCAAAATCTTCCACAATAAAGCAAGAAAAAGTTTTCTAATGAATTATTATATAATATATAATATATAAATGATTATTATTATAGATTACATCTATTGATGCAAAAGTATTAATAATGTAGCCAGGAAGCAAATTATTTAATCCTTTGTACATAAAACAAGCTCTGTGGTAAATAAATCTTTATTTCGAACAATTTAGGAAATATGTTATGATTCTTTCAAACTATTTTCCCAGCTCCGCATTTTTTGTAATCTCACCATCTCTCACATTCGAAGAGAAGACAATGACAGATATCGTGATATTCCTTAGAAAAGAGCAGTCTACGTACTCTCCATTAATATGCAAGTACAGACCAGCTGAACATACATCAATGTAGCTACATTTATATATGTATAAGCTACAGTAAAACCCTTTATTTTCATTGGCATTTAATTGCACTATTTTGATCCTTTGAGCAATTTAACAAGGTTTTAAATTCACAAACTTGGCTGAG